TGAAGCTCAGCTATAGTTCATAACAAATTTCATTGGGATGTCAAACTTCAGATCTCTAAAGGGAAGTCTATTGAGTCACAATTCTAAGAATATTATTTTAGTCATATATGATAAACAAGAAGCTCTTGAGTCTAATGTACCATTCATTAGCTGTACAGGTTGCCAGGTAAATCTGATAAAGAATCTAGGAGCTGCTTGACCTCTGCTATGTTGAAGAGTACAGTTTAGCGAAACCAGGATGTTCTCTGTGGACTACAGTATTTGCAAACAAGAGACAAACACTAAACCCTATATGTCATATTGCTGTGGGACAATGGTCTGTATTCTGTCAATTATATTTTAAATCAACACTGATTGTCCAGTAGCCATGCAGGAAGTATAGGTGGAACAACCAGACAGGAAGTAGAGGTGGGTCAATGAGAACAGGACAATTCTGGGAAGAAGGAAGTTCCTTCAGCAGTCCCATCCCAGCCACAGAAGAAGCAAGATGTGACTGCCCTGCTGAATAAGGTACTGAGCCACGTGGCTAACACAGATAAGAATAATGGGCTAATATAAGTTATGAGAGTTAATAAGAAGCTTGAGCTAATGGGCCAATAAGTTTATAACTAATGTAGACCTCTGTGTGATTTTTGGGGGCTTAACTATTGCAGGAACTGGGCAGAACAGAAAACCTCGGTCAACATCATATCCATGAATGCAAACCATTAACCAGATACTTGTTTTCTCATGCGTTGATAGTAAATCTGGGGAGAGATCTGTTTTCTTGGATTTGAAGACATTTGTTAATCAACATCATTGGACATAGGTTCTAGAGTATCTGAACCTGAATTCCTGGAATCTTTAGTTGACACAACTGGTATGGAGAGACTTCATTTACAGACAATATATGTAGCAGATTAATTCTGGCCATGGGTTCTACTATACTACCTCACAGTCTGAAGTCCAAATCCAGGGGATAATTTCAGTATTGCGGTAATTTCTTGACGCCTTTGTTGATGAACATTTGGCAGTGGATATGTTTTGTGGATGGAACAATGACTGAGCTTTTTAAACATAATCCCAGTCTTCCAGAGGACCAAAGTTATGCTTTTAACCCTGAAATGTTCTCCTTTTTAAGCTCATGTGAGTATACAGTGCCGGTAGCTCAAACTGTATATACTGCCCTCTGGATCATTGCCATCAACTGTAAGATGTCACTTCCTCTAGACATATCTGTCTTCTCTATGCCCTTTCCTCCTTCCCAGAGTAGCCACTAGTAATGAGAACTGAGATAATGGACAATGATGATAACTGAGATAATGATAATTGAGAGCTTGGCAAAGATCCAGATCTTCAGGCTCTAGCTGAGAAAGAGCTGTGGTCTCATACATACCACATTGTCCTCATGTGTCAAATGAAATAGGGTTCACGGAGAATGCATCTTAGCTCATGTGTTTCTACTCTCTCATCCTTTCTTCAGTAAATTACTACCTTCATCCCTATAAGTCATTTGTACAAGAATTCCTTTCTCGGGTTGTTCTTTGGGTAACTGGAACTTACTCTTTTTTAAAATTTATTTATTTATTAATTATTTATTAAAGGTTTCTGCCTCCTCCCGCCACTGCCTCCCATTTCCCTCCCCCTCCCCTGGTCGAGTCCCCCTCCCTCATCATCCCAAAGAGCAATCAGGGTTCCCTGCCCTGTGGGAAGTCCAAGGACCACCCACCTCCATCCAGGTCTAGTAAGGAGAGCATCCAAACTGCCTAGGCTCCCACAAAGCCAGTACGTGCAATAGGATCAAAAACCCATTGCCATTGTTCTTGAGTTCTCAGTAGTCCTCATTGTCTGCTATGTTCAGCGAGTCCGGTTTTATCCCATGCTTTTTCAGACCCGGGCCAGCTGGCCTTGGTGAGTTCCCGATAGAACATCCCCATTGTCTCAGTGTGTGGAACTTACTCTTAATGCGACTTTTGTGTAAATAGATGTCAGGGTTGTATTCCCTCACTCACAGAGCTCTTTTAGCCCATAACATTAATTGGCAAGCCTTCAATCCATTCCACTGACTACTTCAGGCCAGGCATCCCTAAACAACGTATCCATATGCCTATAAAGCCTTTCCCACAGCATTTCTCCCATGCTTCAGATATACTGACAGCCCTATTGCTGGGGTCCCTACCATATACACTGACCACAAGGATGGACAATACAAATTCCTTGCTATCAGGAAGCTTCCTCCCCACTGGCTTCTTTTCATAGTATCGCAAAGAGTAATGCAGGCTGCTGTGGAGAAACAGTCATCAGGCATCACCTACAAATGTTAATAATGACCAGGGTGACAGGCTTTGTTCACATGCGTAATAGTTGCATGATTTTAATGGATATAATCAACTGCTTCCTGATTGGATTTGCACCTGATCTGTGCAGAGAAACAATGCCTGATATTACAAGCGTGGCCAAGAACCCATGATTAGGGATCTCACAAGCTCCAGGGAAGAATACAGCACTATTATTCTGCTAAATATATATATAATATCAAGCTGCCCTTTAAATTGGTATCTTTCTGTCCCCAGATTAGGACAGCTCCCAGCTCTTATCAGAGCTGCCTTTGTGCAGTGAGCACTGGTCAACACAGAAACTTAGAACTGGTCAAAGTGTGCAGAGAATACGTGAGTGTGGACTGTTTAGCCACACCCCTCAAGGAGAAGGGACAATTATGAAATGAGGAGGGTCATGGAAAGTGTAGATAAAGCTAGCCAAAATTCTTGCTCGGTGTGGGAAATGGTTCACAAATCCCCAACTCCGAACTGAAGAACTATGGATAGCTGATGGGTTCTGAGCAAGGGAGAGTCAATTTTCCTTAAAGATGTGGCTCCTAGGAGATCATCTATGGCTACTGGGTGGCTCCATAGCCCAGGGGTGTGTATGTGTGTGTGTGTGTGTGTGTGTGTATATATATATATATATATATATATATATATATATACACACACACACACACAGCACAATGGAGTCAATAGTTACTAACAAAAAAGGACACAGAGTTGTGTGGGAAGGGAGGAAAAGATTGATCTAGGAGGAGCTGGGGGAGGAGTGGCAGGTATATATGATCAAATCATGCTATATGAAATTCTCTAAGATTTAAGAAAAGTATTTTAAATATCAATAAAAATAACAAGAGAATAAAAATGGCACAGTGTGTTTATTAACATATTTAATGTTAATATAATATATAAGTGCATATACATATATAATTTAATATATTATATAGTGTAAAAATACTGTTTCTTTTTAGCTGTTGTTCAACATTGCTTTGGCTATTTAGAGTCTTTTACAAAAGTGTTTCCATATGAATGTTCGGGTTTCTCTTATTTCCTACTTCCATGAAGAATGTCAATAATATTTTGTGGTTATTGCAATGAATCTGTAGGTGGGTTTAGCTGATGTGGCCATTTTCACATTAATTCTGCCCGTCTATAATCACTGGCAAATCTTTCCAATTTCTAATACTATTGTCATTATGTTTCTTCAGGGTTTCACACATTTAATATGGAAGTCTTTCCCAACCTTGGTTATGCTGTGGCTACTTTTTTGGGTGGTACTATGAATGACATTTTTCTCATGATATTTATTGTTGAGTATTTCTCTGTACCCAGCCTCATATTCTACTTTGGAAATGCAATACTATTATTTGAGTAGGAAATATCCCCATAGAATTATGCTTTAAACACGTGGCCTCCAATTGGTGGTGCTCTTCTAGGTGTGCTATCAAATTATTCTACTAAACTAAGTCTAATTTTTGCTTTAGAAGCAGAAGCTGAATTAGTTAGTACATGGGGGCTCCTATATACCCTTTCTGTGCAATGATGCTATCTGTTGCCAGATTTTTTTTAATGCCATTGTTTTATGTAAGTTTTCCAAAAATTAATAGGCACTAGACTTTTGTAAATCTGTAGGCAGGAACTTCATTTTCAAATTAGCCTTACTTTTTAAAATGTGTTTTTTAAAGCTTCGTATCTATTGTTTGCTAACATTTCCCCTTAATATTAAGGGCAGTCTGAGAACATACTGCAGAAGTACAAGCTCTGACAAGAGAAACTACGCAATATTTCTAAGATGTTAAAATGTTGCCTACAGGACAAACAGAATAGGCTTCAGATAAGTCTGACCTAACAACCTTCTTCTGCACACCTCCTAGTGACTTAAAGTTTTGTTGACACTAATGCCTTGGTATCTATCACTTATGGCCCTCCCATTTTGGAACCAACTGGGACAAATCTGATCCTTGGTGACAAGTGACAACAGAGGGTTAACCTCCAGATGTCTTTAGAGGAGACTGTTTAGAGATTCAGAGATGAGTAACAGAATTACCCCTAGGGAAGGACACAGGTTTGTTCAAGGGAAAGGGGAAAAGAGAATCACTCAGCTATCCTTCCACTGCTCGAGTGGTCTGTGTAGAATACTTAAATATTCTCCTCTTTGTCAGAGAAAATATCGGGAAGTGGGTTTAATATGCACGGTCTATGAAAGCAGCTTTCTGTATTGGGAGGAGAAGGTAGAGGGAGCAGAGTGGGCATACTAGAAATTTTCTGTGGTGGTTCCTTTGCTACTTATAGGTGAGCTAACCAGAAGTTCAGAGATGGAAACGACCATTTAAGGAAGAAAAACAAGGAAACATGGCGTTTTTGTATTTGTAAAACTGCAATTTTTTATTTATTTAACATGTAAGAAAATCTTTTTTTAAAAAAAATATAACAGACAACAAAGATTTCTATTGGGTTAAGGTAACAGTTTACAGATTCCAGAGAAAGCACGTACTTGGTTCCATGTTGTAAAGAAATACGCTTCAGACAACAAACAGTAGTGAAAGAATAGTTGAAGTTAAAATCATCAGCTGGAATAGAAGTTTTACAACGGGCCTCTTAGAATCAGCTCACAGGGGTCTACGCCAGGAATGCTAGGTGATGAAGAACAGGAGACTTGTAAGTGAGAGCGCTCAGCAGCAAGAACAGCTAGAGCATGCTGGGCGGCAGCAGGTGGTCCTGCAGCAGGTAGTTTGGCAACAGATGGGGCGGCAGCAGCTGGAGATGCAGCACTGGGGCCTGCAGCAGCTGGGGCGGCAGCAGGAAGGCTGGCAGCACACAGACTGGCAGCACTGGGGTCTGCAGCAGCTGGGTCTGCAACAGCTGGGCACGCAGCAGCTGGGGCGGCAGCAGGAAGGCCTGCAGCAGCTAGAAATGCAGCAGCTGGGGCGGCAGCAGCTGGGGCGGCAACAGGTGGGCTGGCAGCAAACAGACTGACAGCAGCTGGGTCTGCAGCAGCTGGACACACAGCAGGTGGGCCTGCAGCAGCTGGGCCTACAGCAGGTGGTCTGGCAGCAGCTGGGCTGGCAGCAGCCTTGGCCACAGCCCTCCTCAGAGCAGACAGAGCCACAACAGGAGCTGACCATGGTGTCAGAGGTGGAGGTTCTGGGTTGGTTTACAAGCAGGTGGGTTGGAATATTTGGAAGTGGGAGTCTCTCTGCCCACATCCCCTTTTATACCCCACTGAGGGGCTGTTGTCCTCACCTGCAGCATTCCTTTATTATTATTGTTTAGGTTAATAAACAGGTGATTATCAAATTAGGCAAGTTTCTTCTCCTGGCTAAATTATCAAGGCAGATGGAAAACACAGCTTTTTTTCCTGGCATTACGATTCATCATCAGCTCTGGCTGAACCATTTCCTAAGTATCTTTCTTGCCTTAATTTTTTTCTAAACAATTGTCACGTGACATTGTGTCTAGTCATTGTGTGGTTCAATCTCATGGTGGTGGCTCCACTGTCTGTGCTTAGATAATCAGGATTTTTAAAGACACATCCTTGTTTCTGGTGTCCCAGGTAGATAAAGGTTTATTATACTATTATACCAATGGCTCATCCACAATGGGTCAGGTGGGCACTAACAGTGTGTACATCAAGACCATTGGCATGAACAAAGAAAGGTCTTGCTCATATGACTCCTACATCTTCTAGACCAATTTCAAAGTGGAAAGCTGACTGGGGAAATATTGAGGTTTATCCCCCCACCTTTTTGTTACCAGAGACAGCCCTTTAACAGGCACGTATAGAGCCTCTCTCTACAATGGGTTGCACACCTCAATGGGATTACAAAGTTCAACTTTCTCATCTCTAGCCTACAGGATTATTTCCCTTCTTTGACCATCTACCTTTCTGGCTTAACAGAACATATGCACTCGTATCCTGCCTTTCCCCAAGATTTATCTTGCAATTTCATTGGATATTCAGGTGGTATTGTCACTTATTCTAATTTAAACCTGAATGTCTTGCTTTCAGTTGGGATTCTGGGTAAAGGACTCTCCTGTTTTATGTTTCAAGTGGTAGATTAGACTCCTCTCTTAATGTTCATTTTATATACACATGTATATATGTATACTACATATACATACATATGTATATACACGTGTGTTTTGTCATCATATATCATGTATATAATTACACACATGTGACGTATGTATATGTGTATGCATATATCACATGTGTGCCTAATTATATATGTGATATATGTATGTGTATATCACATGTACAAATATGTGATGTGTATATGCATATATCACATGTAAATAAAAGGAGAATAATAGGTATTCATTTTGGTATACATTAAATACTTAAAGGACACAAAGCACCCATCCAATTAGCTACGTGATTAATGTCTCAAATATGAGGAAGGCTTCAGTTCCTCTGCAGTCCTCTGTTGGTAGAGGAATTGATAGACAGGGAATAACTGTGTGTTAATATCATTAAATTTCTTAATTAGGACCTTTTAGTGACCAAGCCTTTTGCATTATTTTTGAGACATTAATTTGTTTACCAAACACCTAGTCTACAGGCTTTCTTCTCATAGGCTCATGTTTATAAATCTTGAAAAGATGAAGGGTTTAAATAATTACACTTCCTGAGGGAGATGTTCCCCTGGATTGCTGCAGTAACAAGGGCAACTCTACTTCCACACGAATAGGCAGAGGAACACTTTTTGACTACTAGAGGAGTTGTGGAGCTCAGTACAAACTGATACATCTACAAACTAACTCCTATGCCTAAGGCTCGGGGATCATTGCTGAAGAGGGAGTGGATAAATTGTTACAGCCAGAGCACCAAGGGTTTTGTTGTGAGACTTTGTCTCCCTGGAATGTCAGAAGCTACACCTGTAAAATCTCACCAACACAGCTGCTTAAACATGAATTGAACAAGGATGACACCAATAAACATGCTAACATGGATGGGGAAAGCTCACAAGGCACCTAAGGAATACTTAGAGTAGGAGCAAGAGTCTTCTCCAGGGAAGAACATATCAATTGGTTATCCATACCAAGTAGTCATCTCTGGAAAACATGCATAAAAGTAACACTACAGACTGAGCGGGTTTTATTTATGTATTTAGGAATTTATATATACACTACACAGAGAGGGGGGAATGATGTAATTGTATTATAAGCTCAATAAAAAATAACTTTTTAATAAAGAAAGGTCTTTTGGTACTAGATTTGCCCAGAACCACACAAGGTACCGGGCTCAAAGTCACAGCACAAAATAAATGAATTGAGCCCCTTTCCTCCCTTAATTAGGCAGAGTACATTCTCTAAACCAGTGGTTCTCATGACTAGCTGCAGGGGAGAATAATTCACAGAGTATTCCAAACTGTTGACTCCTGGTTCAAGCTCTGGACAGTTTTCTTCTACCTGGCCTGAGCATCAGCATTTGTTCAAGTCTCCAGATGATCCCAGTGGACCTCTAGACACGAGAGTCCCTTCCTAAGCCTGAATTTGGGTCACTTGTAATATTCAGCAGTAACTTTGAGCACTGTCGAATAAAATAATACTGTCTCTTTATTATCATAAGCCAATCTCATACCAGTCACAACACAGACCCACATTGATGAGATAAGATCAACAGGTAATGGAGTCCAATGATTGGATTCATTTTAAAAGAAGAAACCACCAAATAGAAGAGACATTACTTTATACTTTTGACTAAAGGGTACCTGCTATAAAACAAAATGGATGATTAACATCAGGACTAGACATGTGAATTATGTGACTGCTATCTGGCCTATCCCTCTTTGATTATGCACAGCTCAGTTTCATAAGCTCTGAGTTGTGACACATGGGGTCCCATAACTGAATACTGAGTCCATTGAATGAAAAAAACCACTCCTAAGGGCAGATCTAGAAGTAGATGGCTAACACAGAACAAATTCAACAGCGTTTTTTGGAGGTTCCTCATCTCATAATGTTCTGTCTGGGCAGTATTTTCATTTATTTTCTTTCTTCTCTTCCCTTACAGGTCTTTTGCATGTATAGTATGGTTTCTGGTTTATAGGATTTTAGTGTATGTGAATGTGTATGTCTCTCCATCTATGTATATTTCTCGTGCTTTTTCTGAGGCCATTTATCTGCTTTGTTTGCACCATTCTATTCCAGTTTGATTGCTTTTTATTTTACCTACATTATTTTTGAATGCCTGTTTTTATTCTAAAGAGAGCGAGAAAGAAAGGGTATAGATTTGGATGGGTGAGGAGTCAGAGAAGGGGAAACCATAATCAAAATATATTGTATGAAGAAAACATTTATTTTTAGTTAAAGCAAAATTCCTGCTTCAGGTTCTGCATTTAGTGTCTCTTAGCATAACCCCCTTTAAATGTTTGGGTGTTATCCTGTTCATATGATTTTATTATAGCTTATTAATAAAAGTTGTAAACTCTTACATATACAGCATGGTGTAGCCCAAGACATTGAGTTGCTTGTATGCCTCCTCCCCCGCCCCTGTCATAGATAAGAAAAATTCTGACAGCAGAATAGAAAAATAAAACAAAACATTGTCTTTACATTCAAGACTGCTTTGTCTATTCCTGGTATCTCTCTCTCTCTCTCTTTCTCTCTTTCTCTCTCTCTCTCCTTCCCTCCCTTCCGTTTTAAATAACAAATTTTAACGTTGTTTTACAAATATCAAAGGAGTACTTCATTGAATTCTAAGGAAATGTATAGAAATTTAGATGGGATTTGATATTTTATTCGGAAGAGAAGATAGCGGGATGTTGGTAATGGAATTGATTTCTTGGTTCCTTTCTCACTGAACTAGTTGTTGGAGACGTCACACACAGCCTCTAAGGACCCTGTAGAGCTGCGGCAACAGTAACAGACCAGTAGTGGTGTAAGAATAGGTGAGTACACTGATCTGTGGAATATAACAGCAAATCCAGAAATAAAACCATGCACTATGGCCTTCCAAGTTTTAATAAAGTTGCTATGAACATATTTTTGGAGAGGGACTCTTTAGCAACTTGTGTTAGAAAAACAAGATGCCCACATAGAGAACTGAAATGCATCCCTCGCTTGTCTCCCTAGACAAATGCTTACGCAAAATAGACAAAACACATTAACTCAAAATTTGAAAATATAAGAACATTCCAAATGATAGAAGGACTTTACAAAAAATGAATCTCATAAAAGGATTACCAGAATGGAGAGAAAAAAAGGCTGGAAAAAGAAAAAAGATATAGCTATTCATTGCCCAGGAAATTAATATCCAGAATATATTTAAAAACTCAACAATATTTTAAAAATTTAAAATATTATAATCAATAAATACACAATATGTTCAGAAGATTTATAGTTCGGTGACCAAAAATCAAGGCTTGACCTGACAGCATGAAACTCTCTTCATTATAGTAGATATTTGTCGAAGGAAGTGGCACTGGGTTGGGTGGACGAGTATTAGACTGCTTGTCCTCTGCAGCTTGCCTTTATACAGAGATTTGAGACAAAGTTGTTCATCAGGTAAGTGACCTGAGGAAGCATTGAGATGAACTTAAGGAATGAAATAAGTCAACATTAATCATGTGATCAGAATATCTCCAGAAGCAGTAGGGCTCTGAGCCACTGAAGACCCAAGGAAAGCTGTGTATTCACTGGACTGAGTGAGCAAGGGCTTTGCTCACCCAACCCTTCTCACTGCTTGAGCTCTGTGCCTGGGGGCTTCACCTCTTCTATCCACTGCTGCTTCTTAAACATGAGCAAGTTCTGAGCACAGAGGTCCATGGGGCTTTACAAGAACATCTTTCTATACAGGAAGAGGAGAGCCTTGGGGACAGAACTGACACAGGCTGTCTTTGCACTGAGAAATCTTTGTGCTTCAGAATTTGACAGATGTGGAAAACAATCTGAGAGGAGAAACAAGTAGACATGATACACATTGCATGCCTGCAAAATTCTGATTTATTTAAAATGTAAGAGAGTGTCCATTAAGAATACGGTAAAGAACAAATTTTTCTTTTTGGGTGTAAGGACAAACTTTACAGATTTCAGAGAAAATTTAAATTTGTGGTCATTTTAGAGAAAGATAATAGGCAGAAGTAAGGACAGACATTTGGAGGGCAAAATCACTATCAGTTGGAACAGAGGCTTTACAATGTGCCTCTCAGGATCAGCTCACAGGTGATCTACACCAGAAATCATGTGTGATGAAGAACAGGAGTCTGTGAGTGAGAGCGCTCAGCAGCAAGAACAGCTAGAGCATGCTGGGCGGCAGCAAGAGGTCTGGCAGCAGGTAGGGCGGCAGCAGCTGGAGATGCAGCACTGAGGCCTGCAGCAGCTGGACACACAGCAGCTGGGGCGACAGCAACTTGATCCACAACAGCTGGAACTGCCACAGCAGGGGCGGCAGCAGCTGGAGATGCAGCAAGAAGGCCTGCAGCAGCTGGACACACAGCAGCTAGGGCGACAGCAGCTGGGTTGGCAGCAGGAAGGCCTGCAGCAGCTGGGGCGGCAGCAGCTGGACACACAGCAACTGGAACTGCTACAGCAGGGGCGGCAGCAGCTGGAGATGCAGCAAGAGGGCCTGCAGCAGCTGGACACACAGCAGCTGGGGCGGCAGCAGGAAGGCCTGCAGCAGCTAGAAATGCAGCAGCTGGGGCGGCAACAGGTGGGCTGGCAGCACACAGACTGACAGCAGCTGGGTCTGCAGCAGCTGGACACACAGCAGCTGGGCCTACAGCAGGTGGGCTGGCAGCAGCTGGGCTGGCAGCAGCCTTGGCCACAGCCCTCCTCAGAGCAGACAGAGCCACAACAGGAGCTGACCATGGTGTCAGAGGTGGATAGGTTCTGGGTTGGTTTACAAGAAGGTGGGTTGGAAGATTTGGAAGTGGGAGTCTCCCTGCCCACATCCCCTTTTATACCCCACTGAGGGGCTGCTGTCCTCACCTGCAGCATTCTTTCCTTGTTATTGTTTAGGTTAATAAATAGGCGATTATCAAATTAAGTGAGTTTCTTCTTCTGGCTAAATTATCAAGGTAGATGGAAAACACAGCTTCTTTTCCTGGTATTACAATTCATCATCAGCTTTGGCTGACCATTTCCTAAGTATCTTTCTCGCTCTAGTTTCTTCCAAACAAATGTCACATGACATTGTGTGTCTAGGCACTGTATGGTTCAGTGTCATGGCAGACGGCTCTAGTGCCTACCCTTAGATAACCATTGCTATTAAAGACTCATAATTGTTTCTGGTGACCCACGAGGATAAAACATTATTATACTGATGATTCATCCATAATGGGTCAGGTTGGCCCAGAAGGTTTGACCACACACACACACATACACACACAAAAATCCCAATGGTATGAGAATAGGAAGCCTATTAAGCCATATCTCCTAGCTCAAGTGGAGCATGGTTCATTTCCTAGATCATTTTTTAATGAGAAACACAAAACAATCTTAGGTAGAAAGTTGAATGATTTTCCTTTTCGGAAACAAAAGTCTAACCGAGTTTTATTACCTCTTAACAGGGATGGGCTTTAGCTCAACTATACCTCAAAGTCTACATGTCTTCATTCTACCATGGAGGTTTCTTTACCTTCTGTGACTGGTAGCCTGTCCTTCTTTCTTTAGTAGGAACTCCTGACCCAGGCTCTTGCTTTCCTCAAATGTGCCTCAGAACTTCAGTTAGATGAACAACTTCCTGCCTCTTGCTCTCTTTGGCCCTGGACTGTCTGTGTCTGCAGAGGTCCTACCCCTGCAGATGCCTCACCTGTGCCTCTACTCAGGTAAGTGGGTTAGACTTCAACACTTGTGTCCTCTTTTGAAAAAATGTAAAAAGATTGAGTACTTTTAAAAAGCAGATATCTACATGAAAGGATATCAGTTTATATTTATTTATAGTGGGGAAACACTAACAGCTTAAGGGGTGCAAAAAATCCCATCCAAGCAGCCAAGTGATTGGGGTTTCTAAAAATGAGGAATGCTACCAGTCTACCAGTCCATTATTCATGGTCTGCTGGTATAGAAACAGGCAGAGACTTGCTGTAGCTATGTGATGACATCATCAAATGTCTTAATTAGGATCACTTAGTGACCAAGCACATTGCAGGATTTTTATCACACTTACTTGCTTAGCAAACATTTAATTTACTTGTATCTTCATTGACTTGTAGCTGTGAATTAGGTTATATGTAGTTTAAACAGTGATACATTCAGGAGGTTTGTTGCAGTTGTTTGTTTGATTCACTGTTATAAGATGGGCCAACACATCCTCTCTTGTACCCTCACCTGCAAGGAAAGGTCAGCGCCAGGACGCATGCCTGGACCATCAATTCCTGCCCAGCCACACAGACAGGAGCACAGCACTGACAGCTGGCTCCACCTTTACAGCTTTTGCTGTCAGCTGAAGGGAACGGGGACTCTGGCTTCCTGCGTCCATTACTGAGCTCCATGGCACAAGCATTATTATTTTTTTTCCATTTTTTTATTGAGAAAAGGAGAAAAAAAGAAAAAAAAACAAGTTTCCACCTCCTCCCAGCCTCCCATTTCCCTCCCCCTCCTCGCACCCTTCTCCCCCTCCTCCCACCCTTCTCCCCCTCCCCCACTCCTCTCCCCATCCCTCTCTAGTCCAAAGAGCAGTCAGGGTTCCCTGCCCTGTGGTAAGTCCTAGGTCCTCCCCTCTCCATCCATTTCTAGGAAGGTGAACATCCAAACTGGCTAGGCTCCCACAAAGCCAGCACATTACGTAGGTTCAAAACCCCGTGCCATTGTCCTTGGCTTCTCATCAGCCCTCATTGTTCGCCATGCTCAGAGAGTCCAGTTTTATCCCATGCTTTTTCGAAAGTATGGAATATATACACACTAGAGTACTACGCTGCTGTAAAAAACAATGACTTCTCAAATTTTGCATGCAAATGGATGGAAATAGAAAACACTATCCTGAGTGAGGTAACCCAGACCCAAAAAGATGAATATGGGATGTACTCACTCATAATTGGTTTCTAGCCATAAACAAGGGTCACGGAGTCTACAATTGGTGATCCCAAAGAAGCTAAGTAAGAAGGTGAACCAAAGGAAAAACATATAGTTGTCCTATTGGCTATGGGAAGTAGACAAAATGGCCGGGGAGAAAATTGAGATCTTGGGGGTGGGGTGGGGTGGTGGTAAGGGGAGATGGGGAGAGTAAAGGGAGAAGGGGAGAATGGGGGGAACTTGGGGAAAAAGGAGGATGGGGATAAAGGAAGGTTGGATAGGGGAGCACGGAAGCACAATTCTTAGTTAAGGCACAAGCATTATTAAAGGGCTTTCTCTTCCTTCTCAAAAATAAAATAAAATAAAATAAAATAAGATTTTATACATATACTTATAAAAGAAAAAAAATAAGGTGGGCCAAGAAGGAAACAAAAGTGTTGGATAAAGACTGTGGTGATCAGTAAGAAAATTTTTATTTCTGTTTAAGAGGATTAAGAAAGTCTTTTCCCCAAAGCTAAAAAAAGGAAAGAAAAAGAAAAAAAGGAAAAGAAAACAGCAAATTCACTACAGATCAATGTACACAGAATCACAAACCTTCACCTAGCAGAAGGCCATAGTGGCTGAAAAATGAACCCCTTCCCCCGGAGGGGAGACCCAGTAACAGTGTCTTGCTCCTTTGTAGAAGGTTCTTTATTTAATAGCCGTGGGCTTGGACATGGTGTCCATATTTTATGATGCTCCTCATATTATCCCAATGTGCAGTGAAATCTGAGATCACCTCACTAAATTGTCTACATGGTAAATAATATCATCATCATCATCATCATCAACAACAACATCTCAATGTTTATTTTTTATGTAATAAAAATCATCTGTGGTTTTGAACCACTAATCTTTGAGCAGTGTAGACTGATAAGCAATACTCCTTGTTATTATCTTAGGTCACTTTAATACTCACAGGACACGAATGACATCAGTCCTCAGAATGGAACAACAGAGAATCAATCTTTGTTGGAAATGACTAGGTCTAGAATACTGGCTCTTACATGTCTTTTCTTGACTGCGCTGATGTGGGATTCCCCTCTGTATGCTGTGCATACCATTGGTTAATAAAGAAACTGACATGGCTTGATAGGGTAGAACAGAGCTAGGCAGGGAAAAAGAAACTGAATCCTGGGAGAAAGGAGGCAGAGTCAGAGAGAAGCCATGGAGCTGCCACTGGAGATAGATGCCCTGAAAGTTTGCTGGTAGTCCAGGACCTCATGGTGATGCACAGATTAATGGAGATGGGTTAAATTAAGATGTAAGAGCTAGTAAATAAGAAGCTAGAGCTAATGGGCCAAACAGTGATTTAATGAATACAGTTTCTGTGTGATTATTTCGGGTCTGAGCCAGGCAGCCTTGTTTTCAGAAGGCCGGGAAACAAGTGGTCTCCCTACAACACCATGTTTATCCTTTGACCTTGGAGGGGAATGTTACTAATATGAATTCTCGATTACTTTTATATAATTTCTCTTAGCCGCAGGGGGCCGTGGGAATGTACAGCAGTGGGAACTAGTGTTTAACAGGTCCACCCACCAGATGCATGATTCCCTGTTAGGGGAACCCACTTGTCAAGGCCGTGGGGTTATTGACTTTAAATGACTGGTTGTTTTCTGTCCACAACTTTCTCAGGTACTACTGCTATGCCTCATTAATAATAAAAGCTGTGAAGTTCCTTCCATGGCCCTTTAGTGGTGTGCTTTACACTTACTGGGCGCACATATAGCTGTGGATGGTCAGGAAGATTCTGAAGAATAGAAATAATCCTAGGATAGTTTATATTACTTAGACTGACAGAATTCTCAGTCTCAAAGACAGTCTTTTACATGGACAGCTAACTTTAGACTTCAGAACAGATTCACAATAGGCTGGTTACTCCTGGAGATGAATACATGAGGTCATTTTCCCAGGTGTTATATAGATGATTTAAGGTCAGGATAGAAGCAACCTTAGTAAACATAGCTCCCTGTAGTAAAGGACCTTTCTGCATGTACTCCCCAACCTCAAGGTTTAGCCAATTGTTTGCTGTCTGGGAACTCTCACCATCTTAGAGCTACATGCATGGGTCACTGCGACATTCATAACCTAGGAGAAACTATGTGAATTACCTTGTGTTATGAGAATGAGTCTGGCCTTGAAAAATGTAACTTATAATTGTTCTGAGTTTGGTTGAGGGAGAAGCAGTGAAGAGAAGAGCAGCAACAGTGGAGAGAGAGAGAGGGGGGGAGGGAGGGAGGGAGGGAGGGAGAAAGGAGGAGAAAAGGAGGGGTAGGAAGGGTGTAGCGATGTGGAGGAAGCAGAAAGTGAACTAGAGAGGGTGCAGAGTGGAGAATGAGAAGGGATGAAGAGACAGGAAGCTGTGAAGAAAGATTTTTCATAGAGAATTTTTCAAGATGAGGCAAAGAGAAAGTTGCCATCAGAAAGTGTTTGTGTTTTCTTATTTCTCCTCTCTGATAGAAAAGGCCTAACCTTTAGGTAGATACGAACTTTTCCTAAGTCATTGCTGTATTTGTGGATTTTTTTGCATTTCCTGGTCCTACTGGGGGTGGTCCCCAAGTCAGTCATACTTAGCCATGATGCCTGCATATCTCGGACAAAGGCAGTTTAACTACTTAGCAAGTTAGTGGATGTTGTATAAAGACAATTTGACTATACATGTATATTTTTACTCCTCTGATAAGTACCCTATACTAGCTAGGGCAGGCAACCTTGAAATTGGCCACCAGTTGTTATCATTTTTCAAGTATTCAAGATGTATGTAATTCCTCGTCCTCAATTCACTTACCTCTAACCAACAACTTATGACAACACTCAGTGATGAAGTGACAGAATATTGTGGCTTTCCTCTTTGACAGCTCTTTCACACAGGTTCTTCCTCCATCATTGGCTTTTTGATGAATTCACACTAAGTGGGAGAGATTTGTGGGACAACAAACTGAGAACAGCCTGAGTTCAACACCAGGCAAGTGCTGACTCTCACACTTCAGCAGCTTCAAAGGATCAAATATTCTCAGCCACCACAGAAGTGATCACAGAATCAGACTCTTCTGGGTTGTCTCCTCACTGGTGACCCCAGTGCCAGCTGATATCTTCAGTGAAACCCTGAAACACACGAGGAAGACTGGTTGCACTTCATCATGGTAAACTGTGAGATAATGAACATGTGGTGGTTTTGTTGATACATTTTGGGGAAGAAATATAACAGAGATATAGGTTACTAATCCATATTTATCTGATCCCATATAGGTCATAGAAAGGGGAGGAAGGGATAAAATTCTACAGAGGAACAGATGTGCTGAAATGGGTATATTCATAAAGGAAGGAATAAATGAAATTTTAGATGATCTACTTTAGATTTTAGTTCTAGTGTTTATAATTGTAATTTTAACTGTCAGTGGAGAAACACAACAGCTACAATCCAATAAGGACATAGTAACCAATCCCTCAGAACTCTCAGGTTGGAACCTTGGTAGCTCTACAAGGTAAGTTGCATATACAGTAGGTACTTGTTAATCAATACTCCTAAGATAACTTCCTGTAGCAATTTTAACTAATGAGTTGGTGAGCACAGAATAAAAGCAATAGATGTGTGAAGTAGGTGGTAGGGTGGTCTATTCAGGTCGCACATCCTTGAGCTAGTGTCTGTACATAATACGGGTGATTCACAATGTTCACCTGTCTTCTTTCTCAGGTGATTGGGCTTAGCATAGATCCCATTCACCTGGAGGTGTCTGTCTCTCAACCATATGTTCTGAAAGCTTTGGACCATAACCCCCAACACAACATCTTCAACATCTTTTTTTTCCTTTTTTTTTAATTTTTTTTTTATTGAGAAAAGGAAAAAAAGTTTCTGCCTCCTCCCAGCCTCCCATTTCCCTCCCCCTCCTCCCACCCTTCTACCCCTCCCCCCATTCCTCTCCCCCTCCCTCTCCAGTCCAAAGAGCAGTCAGGGTTCCCTGCCCTGTGGAAAGTCCAAGGTCCTCCCCCCTCCATCCATGTCTAGGAAGGTGAACATTCAAACTGGCTAGGCTCCCACAAAGCCAGGACATGAAGTAGGATCAAAACCCCGTGCCATTGCCCTTGGCTTCTCATCAGCCCTCATTGTTCGCCACATTCAGAGAGTCCGGTTTTATTCCATGCTTTTTCAGTCACAGTCCAGCTGGCCTTGGTGAGCTCCCAATAGATCAGCCCCACTGTCTCGGTGGGTGGGTGCACCCCTCGTGGTCCTGACTTCCTTGCTCATCTTCTCTCTCCTTCCGCTCCTCATTGGGACCTTGGGAGCTCAGTCCAGGGCTCCAGTGTGGGTCTCTGTCTCTATCTCCATCCATCACCAGATGAAGGTTCTATGGTGATATGCAAGATATTCGTCAGTATTGCTATAGGATAGGGTCATTTCAGGTTCTCTATCCTCAGCTGCTCCAGGAACTAACTGGGGACCTCCCCTTGGGCTCCTGAGAGCCTCTCTAGGTTCAAGTCTCTTGCCAACCCTAAGGTGGCTCCCTTAACTAAGAATTGTGCTTCCGTACTCCCCTATCCAACCTTCCTTTATCCCAATCATCTTGTTTCCCCAAGTTCCCCCCATCCTCCCCTTCACAATATCTTTTAGGATGAAAGGGTCTTTTTTTGTTTTTTTTGTTTGTTTGTTTTTGGTCTTTTGATTTTTTTTATATCATGAATATGTTGGTTTCAAAAATAAACAATGCTGCTTCCCTTGTTTAAGATTGTATTGACTATTCCTAGTGTTTTGTACTTTCACATGAAATTTAGGATTTTTTTTTAGTTCCATGAATGATGTCATTGGATCTGTGGTAGGAATTGCTTTGACAATTTAGCTAGACATTGACGGTATGGCTATTTTCTCAGAACTCTGCCTATTCCTGAACATGGTATGCCTTCTCAGTTTCAAAATATTCTTTAGTCTTTTTTCTTCAGTATTAAGAGAATTAAACCCAGGTCTGTTGTAATATGAGCGGCGGGGCTGCGTCCCCAGCACTCCGGCCACCTGCTAGCTTATGCCCCGAAATAATTACACGGACACTGTATTCTTTTAAACACTGCTTGGCCCATTTCTATCTAGCCTCTTCTAGGCTAATTCTCACATATTAATTTAGCCCATTTCTAGTAATATGTGTAGCCCACGAGGTGGCTTACCAGGGAGATTCTAGCCTACGTCCATTCTGGGTCGGAGCTTCATCGCATGCGTCTGCCCAGGAGAGGGGAGCATGGCGTCTCTGCTCCAGAGAGCAGAGCTGTCGAGTCTGAGCTCACTTCCTCTTCCTCCCAGCATTCTGTTCTGTTTACTCCTCCCACCTACGTTTTAACCTATGAGGGCCAAGCAGTTTCTTTATTGCTTAACCAATGAAATCAACAGATTGATATATGACACTCCCACATCACAGGTCCTCTGGAAGAACAGCCATTGCTCTTAATCACTAAGCCATCTCTCCAGCCCCCAAACCTAAGAATTTAAACACCAAAAGATCCAATCAATAAGCAGATAAATGATACAAACAGATACTTTCTTTTTTGGGGTTTTCAAGTTTTTTATTAAAAATTTTCACATAATACATGTTTATCGATTTTTATTGAGCTCTACATTTTTCTCAAACAGATACTTTCCAAGAGAAAATATATAAAGGATCACTAAACATGTGGACAATGGTTGTATATTTTTAACCACTAGGGGGATTAAATCATACCACATTGAAATTCCACCTCACCCTAGTCAGAATATCTACCATTATAGAAACAAGAAGAAATGGTATGGTGGATGCAAAGGAGTTGGACCCTTCTACACTGCAAGTGGGAGTGGAAACGGGCACACGTGGAAATCAGTGCAGAGTTTTCTCAAAACCTAAAGTAGAACTCCCAAATGATCTAGCCATAGTACTGCTGGATGCTCACAGAAAGAGATGGAAAGCAATATCCAATAGAGACGCCAATGTACCCATGTTTATGGGGTGGCTATTTATAATAGTCAAATCCTAAAATCAGCTCAGTGTGTACCTGCAGATGAATCAGTGATGGAAATGTGACTTACGCACACAATGGAGAATTATTCACCCACCAAGAAGAATGAAATCCTGTTATTTGCAGGGAAGAACATCAGACAGACAAGTAAGCCCCAGGAAGAGGAGCTTCAAATGTTGCCTCACATATGTGAAATCTACCCCCCCCAAAAAAAAAGAAAGACTAGAGAGAGTAAGAGGACTGAGATGGAAAACGATTAAGGTCAGCAAGAGGGCAGAGAGGGAATGAGTGTCAGGGAAGTTAAGACAGCAAACCTAAGATGAGATTACTTTCTATACATATGAAAATGTCATAACGAGAAGCTGTAATGTTATTAAATACCAAATGGGAACCTTCTGGCATTTTTTTTAAATCAGCAAAAAAACTGAAGATGGATGGTATAACACAATTTTCACAAATATTGGTCTAAAGCTACAGGTTCATGAAGTAATAGATCAATACAGTAAGTATCAATCCTGAAATTAGGCCTTGCTACTGCACAGTCACTCATGGTGCCTCTGTGTGGGTGCTGGGTGACACATGAATAGGGATATGGGATTCTTGAGTTGCTTCACTGGTGGGGCTGTCTCAGATATGGTGGACAGCAGTGGTAGACATGAAGCAGGTACTTGGGCAATAGTCTCAGGAAGAATTTGAACTTGAAAGGTCATACCCGGCAAAGAGGAAGCTGAAAGGGACCACAATGAGCAAAGGATCACAGGAGACAACTAGCTCTCATGACACCCAGGGACTCAGGAACATCACAGTGACGCACTTCCTCTTGGAAGGAAGTGGTGGAGAGCATACGATCTCAATGCATTTCATTACTTGAGCTCTCTGCTCAGGGGCTTCTCTATCCTTCCTACAAACCATTCTTCAATAGAGGTGGTCATGGAGATGTGTGTGTTTGACCTATGCAATCTTCTTCCTATAATGGAAGACGAATACAGGGGGAACACAGTAGACACACGTGAAATCATCTGCTGTGATCATGGCACTGTTAGAGACGAACTGAAATATTGACAAATGAGGATGACAATTCAAGATGGAGAGATGAGACATATGTACGCTTGTATTCTTGCAAAGCTAAGATTTATTTAAACAAGGGAGAAGGCTGTTTTTGAAATGGAGAAGAGAAAATTATAAGAATAGGTTTACAGATTTCATAAAAATCATTTGTGTGTTCATTTGACAGAGACACAGGGACAGTGTAATTGGAAGTAAAAATAAATGTGTTAAGACAATGGGCTTCATGAGACTAGTAGTTCACATCTGGAATGGTGGGTGATGAAGAACGGGAGACTGGGAGTGAGAGCACTCAGCAGCAGGAACAGCTAGAGCATGCTGGGCAGCAGCAGGAGGTCTGGCAACAGGTGGGGTGGCAGCAGCTGGAGATGCAGCACTGGGGTCTGCAGCAGCTGGACACACAGCAGGTGGGGCGGCAGCAGGTGGTTTGGCAGCAGGAAGGCCTGCAGCAGCTGGAAATGCAGCAGCTGGGGCGGCAGCAGCTGGATCCACAACAGCTGGAACTGCTACAGCAGGGGCGGCAGCAGCTGGAGGTGCAGCAAGAGGGCCTGCAGCAGCTGGACACACAGCAGCTAGGGCAACAGCAGCTGGGGCGGCAGCAGGAAGGCCTGCAGCAGCTAGAAATGCAGCAGCTGGGGCGGCAACAGGTGGGCTGGCAGCACACAGACTGACAGCAGCTGGGTCTGCAGCAGCTGGACACACAGCAGGTGGGCCTGCAGCAGCTGGGCCTGCAGCAGGTGGTCTGGCAGCAGCTGGGCTGGCAGCAGCCTTGGCCACAGCCCTCCTCAGAGCAGACAGAGCCACAACAGGAGCTGACCATGGTGTCAGAGGTGGAGGTTCTGGGTGGATTTACAAGAAGGTGGGTTGGAAGATTTGGAAGTGGGAGTCTCCCTGCCCACATCCCCTTTTATACCCCACTGAGGGGCTGCTGTCCTCACCTGCAGCATTCTTTCCTTGTTATTGTTTAGGTTAATAAACAGGTGATTATCAAATTAGGCAAGTTTCTTTTCCTGGCTAAATTTTCAAGGTTAATGGAAAAGAGTTTCCTTTTCCTGGTGTGTTAGGGCTCATTGGCAGTTTTCGATGAACCATCTGTCAAGTTTCTTATGAAATTTAGTTCCTTCTGGAAGGGTTTTCACAAGACACTGTGTGTCTTATTGCTCCTCCCTTCAGTCTCATGCTATACAGGGCTAGACTGTGTACTCAGGCCATTATTACTCCCACAGATCTTTTCTCGTGACTGAGGAGGGTGAAAGGACAAGGTTAGACCCCAGACAACTCTCCATGTAGACTGTGATTCAGTTTCTAGAGATGGAATAATCTCCAGGTGGTAAGGTAGATGGTAAAAAGTTAGATTCTATTCTTTTTTTCTTTTTTAAATTTATTTATTTATTATGTATACCGTGTTCTGTCTGTCTGTATGCTTGCTGGCCAGAAGTGGGCACCAGATCTCATTACAGATGGCTGTGAGCCACCATGTGGTTGCTGGGAATTGAACTCAGAACCTCTGGAAAAACAGTCAGTGCTCTTAACCTCTGAGCCATCTCTCCAGCCCTATTCTTTTTTTCTATGAAAAACAAATCTCTAACACAAATTTTAATGTCACTATGGAGAGTTTTGGCTGCAGAGCTGAGCTATATCATAAAATGCATGTCCCTTAAGTTGCTCTCCTTGGCCTTATTACTTTACCATCCTGTCTTCTGGCTTTAACTGATCCTGCCAGCCATATTGTTTCTGTTTCAAGATGTCAGAACTCCTACTGCACAGCTGTTATTGCCTCTTGCTCTAAATTCAGTGGTTCTCAATCTGTGGAGGTCACCTTTCACAGGGTGCCTAAGAAGACCAGAAAACACAGAGATTTACACTACAGTTCTTAACAGTATCAAAATTACAGTTATGAAGTAGCAGTAAAAATAATGTTAACGTTGGGATCACGTGAAGAACTGAATTAAAGGGGCACAGCATTAGAAAGGTTATGAAGCACTAGTCTAGCTTGTACCCAACGTTACTGTGTTTGTTGAGGTCCTGGACCCTATAGGCACTCCTGCTCCTGGAGTTAGATGGTGGACTGGACTGCTCCCTTCAAGAGTTCTGTTAATACTGACATAACAAGACAATGAGAGGAAGCGGGTATTTCAATGGTAGGATTTCTGTTTGCATCTGTCTACTGTGTGGTCAGAGGAAAGACTGCCACCTGCACAGTCCCCATCCCACTGGCTGGTTGACTACAGCTTCTGAGAAGGAGATATGCTGTTCCCTTCTTCCCTTAGGCTGAAGAACAAGAGGCTAGCTGGTGATAATTTAAAGACCGATCCCACGCAAACTTTACTCTCCTTGGCTTGCTAAGCCACTTTTCATTTTTTTTTGTGTGTGTGTGTGTGTGTGCGCGCTTTTACTTTAGGATTTTCTTCTGTAGCACTGATGAAGATGAAGGACAGAAACATAGATGTGTCCATAGCAATAGTAAAATGCTTGCTAGATTTAAAACGTCATAGAAAGAGTAAAAAGATAAAGACACAGGTAGTTGTTAGAGGAGAGGTTTCCCTGTTGATTTAGGGAAGTTAATGAAGCTCTCTGGGACTGAGGCTAAGATCCAGTTGCAGAATGCTGTATAGCATGTGCAAGAAGAGTCTATGGTCAAACCCAACACTGAAAACTGCACATGAGAACTAAGCCAAGGCCTCACTCCCACAACTAAAACAGTGGAGTGATTTGCCTCTGTCAAACAATTTGTAAACAATCATAGCCACTAAGCTAGTTGGAGACATGACTGATTCATTCGGCAAGGGTCAAAAAATTGTCTTTGCCTACCCTTTCCAAAACAATAGTTCATATAATAGGTCTGTAGTAGATCATATGTGTCAAAAGGTTGTAACATTCCATGGTTTATCCCAGTGCCCAACAATTGAGATCTCTCTCCTTGAAACTTCCACACTACAGAGCTGCATTCGTACAGAAGAGAGCATGCAAAACCAGCTACATTTCACTCAGTGGCATCTAAATCACGGAGAAAATTTCCCTGACTTGGAAACATTGAACTCTAAGCACTGTAGACTAAGAGACCCACAGCACTGAGAATGGGCCTGAAGCCCAGTGGGAAGCCACTATAGATGGGAATAATTAAAGAGGAAACTCCATGCTGAGAGAATCACTCTGTATACACCTCACCAAATGTTCTGGTAGTCTGGAATGGATAATTGATGCCAGTGTGATAGAAGCGACCAGAACTGATAACTGGTAGCAGTGCAATGCCCCAGAACCACGTGATGTCTACCCTAGGCTGTACTTGCACTATGTAGGTGGGCTTAGAATGGAGGGGAGACAACTGTATTTGCAAAAGGCATCCAGGAACTGTGTCATGTCATTCAGAAACCCAGCCCAGGATGAGATGGTATCTTGTCAAGCATCATGTTACTTTATACAAATTCCTGGTATGTATCGTGTCTGTAGCTAAAATGGATAATTAGGTGAGTAACAGTGCCTAACTTATAACCTCATGATCTATACGGATAGATGCATGCAGTGGGAAGCCTCATACTTGCAGTACAATTGACTTCCTTATAATTAAAAATGAAGCTCCATTAAGTACTAATGAATATATATTAAATGAATGCATGTATAATGAATGGATGGACAAATATAAAGTAATGAATATATTAAATACACAAATGAAAATATATTAAGCAGTATTATCAGTCTTGAGAGTGATCTATGCATTAAAATCATTAAAATTCCCTCCCACATTGATTGATTCCTGATTGCTTATAAAATATTTTCATTGCTCACCCGGGTAGAGGTGGTGCATGCCTTTAATCTCAGCACTCTGGAAGCACAGGCAGGCTGAACTCTATGAGTTCGAGGTGAGCAGGACAGTCTCCAAAGATACAGAGAAACACTGTCTCAAAATACCCAATATATATATATATATATATATATATATATATGTGTGTGTGTGTGTGTGTGTGTGTGTGTGTGTGTGTGTGTGTGTGTAGGTATATAGATATAGATATTTCTTAATCTAATCTTGTTGTCTAAACTTAGTTATCATTTCAATTCATCTGTTTGAAAATAAGCTTTTTTCTTAGAAAAACATGCATATACTAGTGATGTGTGAGTCTCCTCTGTATGCTGTGAATATGTTTTATTACCATTAGTTAATGAATGAAGCTGTTTTGGCCAATGGTTTTAGCAGAGTAAAGTTAACAGAGATATAAAGAGAGAATAGGCAGAGTTAAGGAAAAGCCATGTGGCTACCAAATGAGAAAGACCCCCACCAGAACCTTACCAGTAGACCACAGCCTTGTGGTAGTATACAGATTGATAAAAATGGGTTAATTTAAGAGACAAGAGCTAGCTAGGAATATGCTAGATTCATTGGTCAAACAGTGTTGTAATTAATATAGCTTTTGTGTGAGTATTTGGGTCTGAGTGGCTGGGAAACTAGAAAAGTGTACATGTGTATTTACATCACATTAGCTCTTAAGGAAGCGTAGACTAATTAAAGAGACAAATCATCTCCAAGAATTGCTATATCTGTCTAGACCACATCTCTACCCACACAACCCCAAAGAATCACTACCTCAGGATCCTAGATGATCTTCATTTTGTTTTTCTTGACATCATTAGCCAGCCAGTAATATATGCAAGCAGTGTAGTTTAGTTTTACAGAAATTTTGTGAATATTGCATAGACTATCAATATCAGAATTTCTTTTTCTTTTGCTTGGTATTATTCTACCTGGGATCAGGGTTCCCCTACTGTGTCCTCAGTTCTCTCTCCTGTTCTTCCACTGCATATGTGTGAATTCTTTCTTGTGAGCGATTTTCTTCTAATGAACAGCATAGGGCAACAATCAAGGGTGAAGCAACCAAAGACGGTGACTTTCCTCTTGGTGTCCAACTCTCTTACACATTGTCCCTGTCACTGCCTTCGATGAAGCCAGGTGTTGTGTGGGAATCCCGAGGCTCTCATTCCAATGTTACCAGAGAAGCAAATATTTTCAGCAATCGCAGAAGTGGAGGTGGAAGTAGACCCTTCCATGATGTCCCTAAAAGGGCACCCAGTGCCAGCTGACACCTTCCCTGATTCTGTGTGACACACAAGGGCACAGACAATGAAGCCTGCCTGTGCCTGATTCCTGGTCTACAGAAACAGATAATGATTGTGTGGTGTTCTAGCTTCTTTGTGTCCAGGGAGTAGTATAACCATTGATTGTTATTCTAGACTCATTTGGTCTCTCAACACCTATGAAGGGAGAGAAATCAAAAGGTGCAAAGAAGTAGATATGCTAGGATATTCTTAGTCATGAGGTTTGAAAACCAGTGGATGACTGTTCCCTGTGTGATCCAGTAAACTCTCAATTTACCCAGGCATTAGGGGAAATTTGAGTCAATTTTAGCAAGAAAAATAAGAAAACACAATGTCATTTTATTTATGTTCCTTCAACATTTCACTTTATTTAAGATGTAGAAAGCTTGATTTTTTTAAAAAAATATAGCAAAGAACAAATTATTGCAAGATTTTACAGAGTTCAAAGAATGCTGAAATGTGAGTTCATTTTAGACAGAAACAGGCAGGATTGTGGCAATGCATTTGTTTTCCCAATCAATCTTGTTGTAGTAGAGGCTTTACAAGATGCCTCTCAGAACTCAGCACACGGAAGGTCTACATCAGGAATCCTGCGTGGTGAAGAACAGGAGACCATGGGGGAGAGAACTCAGCAGCAAGAACCACTAGAACAGGCTGGGCGGCAGCAGGTGGTCTGGCAGCAGGTGGGGCGACAGCAACTGGAAATGCAGCACTGAGGTCTGCAGCAGCTGGACACACAGCAGCTGGGGCGGCAACAGGAAGGCCTGCAGCAGCTGGAAATGCAGCAGATGGGGCGGCAGCAGCTGGATCCACAACAGCTGGAACTGCTACAGCATGGCCTGCAGCAGCTGGAGGTGCAGCAAGAGGGCCTGCAGCAGCTGGACACACAGCAGCTAGGGCGGCAGCAGGAAGGCCTGCAGCAGCTGGAAAAACAGCAGGTGGGGCGGCAGCAGGAAGGCCTGCAGCAGCTGGAAACACAGCAGGTGGGGCGGCAGCAGGAAGGCCTGCAGCAGCTGGAAATGCAGCAGCTGGGGCGGCAGCAGGTGGATCCACAACAGCTGGAACTGCTACAGCATGGGCGGCAGCAGCTGGACACACAGCAGGTGGGCCTGCAGCAGCTGGGCCTACAGCAGGTGGGCTGGCAGCAGCTGGGCTGGCAGCAGCCTTGGCCACAGCCCTCCTCAGAGCAGACAGAGCCACAACAGGAGCTGACCATGGTGTCAGAGGTGGAGGTTCTGGGTTGGTTTACAAGAAGGTGGGTTGGAAGATTTGGAAGTGGGAGTCTCCCTGCCCACATCCCCTTTTATACTCCACTGAGGGGCTGCTGTCCTCACCTGCAGCATTCTTTCCTTGTTATTGTTTAGGTTAATAAACAGGTGATTATCAAATTAGACAAGTTTCTTTTCCTGGCTAAATTATAAGGCAGATGAATCTCATCATTTCCTTTTCCTGGTTTGCTCATTGTCCGCTGCTGCTGAGCCCTCTCTCCAGTCTCAAAAGACAAGGTGCATTCTTGGCACCATTTAAACGTCTTTCCTGTTTCAATTTCTTCCAAGAGAGGTGTCACCTGAAATTTTGCATCTTGTTCTGCTCACTTTGTTCTAATTTTGTATGGCTCACTGTACCTGTATGTCAGGATTGTAGTAATGTAATCTTTTGTAAATATCTCTTACAGTCAAATAGACTGGGACTTTTGCTATATATATTCATACACAGACTTAAAATACATATATTTTACTTAAAATATATTATTTTAATATGTAGTAGTATATATGTGATGTTATGATATCATTATATGTTATAACTATGAATATTATATATAATATTTTTTTTTATTTATTTTCTGACTTTACTTTTTATTCTGGATTTTCGATATTCACAGACACAACTGGGCTGTGTTTTTTATATGTTTTTGCTTCCATTTGTGACAGTTAGCTTCTTGTCAACTTGACACAAGCTAGTATCATCTGAAAATGACAATGGATTTCCTAGAAAACATAAATTGCCCAAAGTGGTCAGAGCAGAAAGGAAATCTAAACAGATCAATGAACATGGAGGAATTTGAAAATGTTATTAATAACCTGGCCCACAAGAGCCCCCAGTTCCTTAGGTCAATTCTATGAGCTGTTTTAGGGGCTTGTTATTTCAATGAAATTTAAGCTATTTCCAAACAAAGGGAAAAAACTAAACCCAGTGTTACAATGATATAATATTTTAATAAAAGATCTACAGATACAAATAAAAGCATCAATTAAAGGTGTTTTGTTAATTATAGAGGTTTCTATGCAAATTTAAGGAGATTAAGAAAGACATTTCCCATGTCCATATATATATATATATGTATATGTATATGTATACATACATACACACACACTTATATTTACTTTTTGAGAGTTTTTTTTTATTTAAATTTATTTATTTATTAAGGATTTCTGCCTCGTCCCCACAACCGCTTCCCATTTCCCTCCCCCTCCCCCGATCAAGTCCCCCTCCCTCATCTGCTCGAAGAGCACTCAGGGTTCCCTGACCTGTGGGAAGCCCAAGGACTGCCCACCTCTATCCAGGTCTCGTAAGGTGAGCATCCAAACTGCCTAGGCTCCCACAAAGCCAGTACGTGCAGTAGGATCAAAAACCCACTGCAATTGTTCTTGAATTCTCAGTATTCCTCATTGTCCGCTATGTTCAGCTAGTCCGGATTTATCCCATGCTTTTTCAGACCTAGGCCAGCTGGCCTTGGTGAGATCCCAATAGAACATCCCCATTGTCTTAGTGTGTGGGTGCACCCCTCGTGGTCCTGAGTTCCTTGCTCGTGTTCCGTCTCCTTCTGCTCCTGATTTGGACCTTGAGATTTCTGTCCGGTGCTCCCATGTGGGTCTCTGTCTCTGTCTCCTTTCATCGCCTGATGAAGGTTAATATTCATGAGGATGCCTATGTGTTTTTCTTTGGATTCACCTTCTTATTTAGCTTCTCTAGGAACATGAATTATAAGCTCAATGTCCAAAAAACACCAATGATAGCCTTTGCTGGAGAGGTTGTGGAGAAAGGGGTACACTCACCCATTGCTGGTGGGAATGCAAACTTGTGCAACCACTCTGGAAAGTAGTGTTTCGGTTTCTCAGGAAATTCGGGATCAACCTACCCCTGGATCCAGCAATACCACTCTTGGGAATATACCCAAGAGAGGCCCTATCATACAACAAAAGTATATGCTCAACTATGTTCATGGCAGCATTGTTTGTAATAGCCAGAACCTGGAAACAACCTAGATGCCCTTCAACGGAAGAATGGATGAAGAAAGTATGGAATATATACATATTAGAGTATTACTCAGCAGTAAAAAACAAGGACTTCTTGAATTTTGCATACAAATGGATGGAAATAGAAAACACTATCCTGAGTGAGGTAAGCCAGACCCAAAAAGAGGAACATGGGATGTACTCACTCATATTTGGTTTTTTTTTTTTTTTGAGAGGTTTTTGAGACAGGATTATTCTGTAGCTTTGGAGTCTATTCTGGAACTAGCTCTTGTAAACCAGGCTGCCTACGAACTCACAGAGATCTACCTGCCTCTGCCTTCCCAGTGCTGGAATTAAAGGCCTCACCACAACTGTCTGGCTCGAATATGTTACTTCTTAAGGACTATTTTTTGTTTCATGGCTTCTGGTAGGAGGGGGAATAACTCAATTTTCTTGAAGATATATTTATATTTGCAGGGGGTTGTGGGTGTGGTTATACATGCATGTGTGTGTATGCATATGTATCAAGGTATCCAGAAGCCAGTAGAGGACTTCGGAGCTGGAGTTAAGGACAAGGTGTGCATCCTCTAATATGGCTGATCCTTGAACCAAACTCTCGTCCTCCACAAGCACAACCAGTTCTCTTAACCACTGAGCCATCTCTCCAGTTCCAAAAGACAAGGTGCATTTTTGACATAGACAACAGGTAGATAATACCAGCCCCTGAGCCAGTGGTTCTCATGGTTGGCTACATGGTGGGGCCACGCTGAAGACTGTGGCAAACTAGCCAATTCTTGGCTTCCTATTCAGTTGTTCTGCAATGGAACCTAGAGCTCAGAAGATTTTCAACCTTCTCAGATTCTCTCAACAGGAACTGAAGTTTGAGACCCACCTCCTTTAACTTTCCACAGTCCATGCATTTGTGTCTATTTCAATCAAGAAAATAGGTTGCAAAATAATGAACTTTCAATTAATGGTAAGTGAATAATAGAGAAATCACCCCAAATCGCAAACAATGAGCTTTGACCTTTGGTGAATAATTTTTACGCTGTCAGCTACTCTATTCCAAATACCAGCAGAACCACATGGGTAAGAGAAACTGCTCTAGCTTGAAGTACAGTGAAAAATTACAATAGACAGAACACTGAGTGGTGGCAGAGGAAACTCAGAAGTGGGAGCATCATGAGTCCACCTACTGGGTAAGTCCTACCCACAATCTGTTTACTTAGAATTAAGATTTCACATCTGCACCATGCTTACAGATGCCTTTTTTGTCACCCACGGTAGAAGGTGGGGAACCATTACTTCCCTGTTACAGAATTTTCTTCTTGTCTGTCTTTTTATGATGACATCATGAAAGAACTCAGATAATTAATCACTGGGGATATGTGAATGGACTCGGTTGGCATTTACACATGCCATCCAGGAACCAGGCCAATTTCAATAGAAAATGTAGGTAACCTGATGCCTGGTGACGATAGGGACTTTAAAGGCACGGTAAGTAGACCGGACTTTACTTGCCAGTTATCTCTTATGTTATGCAAATACATAGCCCCTTCTCTTCTAAAAATACCTGTTATATATTCTATGTGTAGATAAATATAATGCCAGTAGGTGGGTTTCATTCTGGCCATTTTTCCATGGTAATATCTTTATCTAAATAGAGCTACAATAGCTATTTTTAACAGAGAAATAATTAACCTTATTTTGGATTCATGTATGTTACTTTGTAGTAAAAATTACATACATATTTCAGAATATATATTAAATAATATTGTTGGGCCTCTTGCAAAATGATACATATACTCAAGAAGAATTTGTGAATTAATAACAAGGTCCATCTATTGTTATTTTAATTTCATTTTTAAAAAATATTTCCATGTTATTTATTTATATCTGTTTGTTAGTATTTGGTTGTAGGCAACACAGAGGTCTGGTCTTGTGCTCACAGATAAGGAGAACCTGTAATGTTAAACAATGATGTTGTTCCTTCAAAGGGACCTGTTATCCACCTCGAAGGCTGGGGACAGATGTGGTTAGTAGCCTGGTAATCTTTTGCTACTTGTGTGGCCAAGACCACAGTATATCCTCCCCAAGACGCTTATTCTGAGCTTACTTTTCTCAGTTAATCTATAGAACCTGTTTTTAAGGAAGGTGTCAATGTATCTATCTATATATAATCAATATATAAAACACATCTTTATGGAAGGTATCCCACATACTTTACACAGAGTTTCAATGTATTCACACCCCATCTTGTTTTGGGTTACTTTGTTCCTCAAAGAGATTGGTGTGTCTTTTGGTGTGCACAAGAAATTGAGTCAATCATCACCAGAAGAATTTTCAATTTGTGCTGTGCTTAAATATGCCTACAATAAATTACTCAGGGTCATATTCCCGAAGTTGGAACCGATGCCACCTACTTGGTCATGTTGAACTGAACTGTCTTCTTGCCTTCTACAGATCAGATTAGATTCTGCTAACTGTGGCGGCCACAGAGATACCTGCATTTGGTATCATAAAAACACAGATATAGTGGAAGGTGTTTGAAATACTCATGTGTAACATAGAAAATAATTATTAAGCGAGTATCTACCCACCAAAAGCCCAGTGGAGAGTCTTTGTTTCATCAAGTAGAGTTCCCGTATGTCTTTCTTGACTGTTTCTCTCTCCCTCCATCACAGAGTGACTTTCCCAATTTTTGGAATAATCTTTTTCATTTCTTTTACTCAACATTCAGTCACCTAGGTTTGCATTTTTGAACAACGAAGTTTAGTTTTACTGTTTTTGAATGCTCTGCAGCAGAATGCCATTCTGGGTTCTGAATTTCAATTCTTCTGTTTAGTGTTCTATACTCTCTTGGACAGACAACCCCAAAGGTAGCCTCAGTTAACCTCACTTCATGTTGTGCTTAGGCAAAGTATCCACCAAATGCTATGTGTTACAGTCTGAGTATCCAGAAGGCCAACATTAGGAGGTT